ACAAGCGTACCTACTAAAAGTAGGTTTTTTATACGATACCGTCAACAGTTTTTAAAGTTACCTTGTACTGCTGGATTTGGAAATTTTCATCGTCTACAGTATTTAAAAGAATCTAATCCGAAACACTTATTATATTTCTCTTCTAAGCATGAATTGCTTGTTTTATAAATCTAATCTAAACTATACTTTAAATTATTCATTTAAATAATAAAAAAATATAAAGGTAAAATTAAATAACAAAAACAATAATCATCATCGATAAATAAAAATAAACATAAGTTATGCCTTGGGCTTTATAACAGAAGTAAGAATCTTACTAGGTACCTACCTACTGTGTGGCAATAGGGTTGATGACAAAACCTTTTTTTCTTCATCGGCCAGGTAGATTAATAAAAGTATTGGACAAGTATTTATTTCTTATTCACATAATCAAAACATTACAGAGATATATTGATATGAAATTTCCCATGACGTCACGTCTTGGTACAATTTTTACTTAGAAGTGACTTTACAAGCCTTCTCTCCCAAACATTCACGCGCTCTATCCTTTTGGTATTAGTTTCCAAAACATAGAACCATTCTAAGTCGAAAGAAGCTCCGGAATATCCGGGAGTGGACCGGTATTGCCTCCGTCGAACAGTTGTTCCGGCTGGCTGCTGATAGAACTACATACAGGAAGCTAACGGCCAACCTTCAGGATTGAAGAGGCACTGAAAGAAGAAGAAGATTACAGAAACAATTTTAAACCCTACAAAGAATGAAAACGCTAAAATGTCTGAAAAAATAAATAAACCTCTTCGAAGAAACCAAAATGTAATGAGTTTAATAAATGCAGCATATTTTTTACCTACATAAATTAATATTCCAAAAAAAAATTACAAAATATTTTTTTTGTTAACTCTACCCAATTTTTACTCTCGACTGACATTACAATGGCAAATATTCGCGCTTATGCTTTTTCTCCCTCATACAAACGTTTACAAGTGTTGTTGTCTTTTTCATAATAACAAATACCGAATAAGATTCAAAACAAACAGCATTTTTTATGAAAAAATATATTTTATAGTACTTACGAATGAAAAGTGATGCCGTCGGTTTTATTTTTAGTTCTTGAGCAATTTGAGCACTTTTTAAAACAACACTTAGGCATTGTTTTATCATATAATCACAAAATTTTAGCAATATTTCTTTTTGACGTTCACATGTACGTCATTTGCATGTCAAGTTGTGACTAAAGCGATTGTGGCCTTGGGCCACAATTTATGCGGATCACTTTTGTGAGGCTAGTGCCGTATCTACCCTTTTTGTTTTAATCTAAGGGGCTGAAAGCCGATCTTGTGACATTGAAAAAATAGTTTTTTTTTTTATATTTTTAAAATTTGCTTGGGTTGTTGCGCGAGGCCCCTGTAGGAGCGAGGCCCCGGGCGATTGCCCTGTTCGCCACCCCCTAAGACCGCCACTGACTGATACAACATATGAATAAGTGTAATAAAGTTGCGTAGGTTAATTTCTTTCGGCATTTTAATCCATAACATTCCTGGAGTCTTCAAGGATGTGTTTTTATATTCTCGTACAATACAATAATAATAATTACTTTATTTATTGTGGTATTTATTAGAAATTGTGTTCATTTTATTATAAACTCAGTTAAGTTATTTTCTACGTGCTTACGAGTTTTTGTTTTCTATAATTGACATCATAGCATAGACAATCTATAGACTGAAATGGCCGACAGCGTTTTTGTATGTCCATGAAAATTCCATTTTAAAATTAAAGATTTGTAGCTTTCTAGGTCTCAAAAAAATACAATACATTTTTTTTCGGTCTAATAGAACATTTATTCACCATTTAAAACCTTTTTCCAAAAAGGGTCAACTAGCCTATTGCTTTTTTGTTCATTATCGTATCGACTACTAAATTTAGTTTCAAGCACATCCGCACGACTGCGCAGGAAAGAAAAGAACTCATTTAAAGACGGAAACTCAGTTAGATGTGATTTGCACTCTTCCCACTTTCTACTCGTGTGTAAATCTAATTTGTCCGATACCATAAAAATTATAAGGTTATCCCACTCATCTGTAGGCTGCCCTAAGCTTTCTAGGGCGCGCAAGTGCTTTGATACATGATCAATAATGAACCTTAAAGCTTTAAAAGATTCCCTAGAAATTGGTTCTTTTATACAAAAAATTTAAATGGTTATTTATCAAAATGTTTTTATTAGCATATCTGTCACAGACTAATTCCCATGCTACAGTATAGTTTCTTGCGGAAAACTCTAAAGATTTAATTATAACCGCTGCACTTCCAGACAAAGACGATCGCAAATAATGAAACTTATTAATAAGTGGAATACTATCATTATTATGAATCATCGCTTCGAAAGTGTCCTTAAATTCAAGCCATTGCAAATAATTCCCGTCAAAACTAGGTAATCTAATGGTGGGAAGTTTAATGGCTGAGTTAACATGACTCTCAAGACTAGAGACATCGTCATCGCGGCATTCCCCCTTCTTTCCATATGCAGGAGAAGTATCTAAAATCTCCTGAGCCCGAGCCAAAAGAGAACTCAACTTTGTTTTAATAAAATCACGTTCATTTATCTGAGAATTAAGATCGTCACTCAATAATTCGATTCGATTTTGTAATTAATCATTACTATTTGATCGAACCGAGAGTTCGACTAATGAAAATAGATAATTACTTATAAGAAACAAATATGTAATTAAACTATTGTTAACATCTCATTTAACTGATCGGCCGAGTAGGAAACATAAACACGTTCAAATCACGTTACTAACTTCACTGTACTAGTACAACGACTGAGTATTCGAATACCATATTTCGAGTACTCGAGTACGCGAGTACCTGCTAGGTATTCGAGTCAGCCTGACTCGGCACATCTCTAGTTTGTATAAAACTTATATAAAAAAAATATATCCGTTTATTACTTTTTCACGTACTTATAATGGAAATCTTATATTATTAAGTAAGTAGGTACTAGTTATAATTTTTATTTTTTAAGCATGTAACTGCTTGATGTTTAAATCTAAAGAAAATATAATGCGCTTCAAATAAGAATAGGAAAGCCAATGACCTCTATCTGTCAAGTGTCACTTGAAAAGTAGGGTTTGCAAAAAACAACTTGGGACCCTTTTTTAGCACTCTGCTAATTCAAGAATAAAAACCAAACTTTTGTAAACAAACAATAACAAATATTGATAATTAATATCGATCAATATTTTTTTTTCACTTATTGAGCTTTGGCCGTGAATGGTTGATAACCTAAATCATCAACCAAATGTCACTTTAAATTGCACTTTAAGGTCGGTTCTACTTATTATTAAAAATAAAATGATGTATTCTTTCAGTAAATTAACCTATCTTTAGGCGTTGAGCAGACGACGGGGCGGGACGGGCATTTTGTCCGCGAAGCAATAAAGACCGCGTCTGCCCGTCGATGTCTGCGGCTGCCCGCGCAGCGTACACAAAGCACACGACGGGCAGAGGCGGTCAGTTTAGGACGTTCGTTCTAGTGAATAGTCCATCACTAATAAGCGCGTGGCGCGGACTGAGCTGACCGCCCCGCGCCGCCGTCTGCGTTACTGCATATAAACTGGTTTGTATGATCCACGGCGGGCAGCCGCGGATATGCCGCGCCACCACTGCCCGCCGGGCACCTGCGGCGCGGTCTTTTTGCCCTCTGTGTGCGTTTGAAGTATAGGATTCACTTTGTGCTATTATTCGCGGCGAAATTGACGGGCCCGCCCCGCCCCGTCGTCTGCAAAGTGCCTTAATATACTTTCCTTCCATGTGACATGGCCGTGGGACGCCCTGCAAATCAAGGCGATTTCCGCAGAAATAAAATGAAAGTTGTAGAATTGTTAAATCATTCATTTACTAAGCTTTTTAACATTAAAAATGCGCAAATAACATATTAAATGGTCGAACCATTTTTTTAATGTACAACATAGGCCAAACAAACCTATTGCATAGATCGTGAAATGGAATAACAGACAAATTTGGACATTGCTAGTAAATTAAACATCACCTTCAGAAAAATAATAAAAACCTGTGTTATAAAAATGTGCTATATAAACTCCCCACAACTTAATGCATGTACACATTTGCTATTAAAATAAAAAATAACCTGAAAAAAAATGCGGCGTCCACAATTTGTCACTTTAATTTAGTCAAAAATTTGTTCCGTCTATTGAATTATCTGATATACAGGTGCGTAAAATTATTTTATCTTTTGGAATGGCATGCGAGTAAGCGTTTGCGGAGGTGCGAACATTTCTGTCTTGATTTTTAACGATTTAACAGCACTTATACACGTAATTGGACTAAATGATTAATTCAATGTATTGTTTCGTGTTAAACAATTTAATTAACGCAACATTTCAAAGACGTTCACTCATTATTACATTATGTTCTAATGATTTAATTAAGTGACTTAATTCATACCATTTATCACATTTTATTTTAATGGGAAACCTGGCTCTCGCTTTCTTGAAACAATACCAGGCTTTAAATCATATATATATAATTTTATAAATTATGTTAAAAATTAATACTACTCATTTTACGTCAAATCAGAAACTCACGCCTAAAATTAAGTTATTTCAGCATGATTGGTACAGATAGCCACTCTAGTTATCCAAACTGTCAAACTTCTTCAACAGACTTTAGAGCTTTGTTTCCATTTATTTAGATACAAACAATCTATTAAGAAAATTCGACATATTTTGCTAACTAGATGTATTGCTGACTGCACAAGATTAAATGCCACACGAAAGAGACCGGCCTTACTGTAAGTTGATTAAAAAATATACTATAGATTATTACGATGTTTAAATGAAGAATGGTCAATACAGATACATCAAAAGACTAAATAATAACATTATGTTTCCAAATATACATAACACCTATACATACCAAATTCACATTCCATTTTTAACATATTCGAATATATTATATTAAAATAAAACTCATTTTGATAATGGACATACAATTTGAGTGTGCGAGTTCTAAGAGTTCATTTTGACATGCACAATAAAATCATTCCAGGGGTGATTTACATGAGCAAATTAATTTCCGATAGTGCGCGAGTATAAAATGAGAATATTATATTAAGTCGTATGAGCAGTGCATGTTCACGTTTCGAGTTTGTGACGGTGATGTGTGTTATTATTTAGTCTTGTAGGCACAGAACTACCCTACTAGAGACCGCATAAAAGGACACCCGCCAAGCTAAGTAGTGATACTTTATAAGCGTGTGACACTCCCCTAAAACGTTGTGATACAAATTGCACCCAATTTGTCATCCAGCCGTGTCGTCACACCGACGTGTATAATTTAAGTTTTCAAATGATGTACGTTTCATCACTGCCGGTAACCGAATACCGCTTTTGAACCGTCTCCTTTATGATTCATTTATATGTCAACTGCAATAGTGCACATTGTTATAAAGGTAGTAATTAATAAAAAAAAATCTTATCATTCTTCTCTGTATGGTATTAGTTAAAAGTGTATCAAGGTGGTCGTTTGGCGATTTTTATTTCAAACAAAAGTGGAGTAACGCGGTATCTAGTAGGTGCGGTTTGTGCTCGTGGGTGAGTTAGTTCATTCGACGTCCATTTGTTCGGCGCCGGGCGCGGGGGCGGCGGGCTCGCCGTCGCCGGTGGGGTTGCTCGGCGGAGGAGTCTTCTCCTTGGGCTTCGGCTTGTTTAAAATCGGGTTCACTGTGTTTTCCAAAGTCTGGGAAAGAAAATAAATACAAGTTAAGTAAACGTTTCTGGGTAACCTGAAGGATTGTGTGTCAGTCACCTGGCGCTCGTGGCGGATCTGCTGCGTGGTGTGCGGGGCGGGTGGTGTCGCGGGGAGTGCGCGAGCGCTGTAGACACAGGGGAGGCGGAGGGGGAGGGGAGGCGGTCACCTGGCGCTCGTGGCGGATCTGCTGCGTGGTGTGCGGGGCGGGTGGTGGCGCGGGGAGTGCGCGAGCGCTGTACACACAGGGGAGGCGGAGGCGGAGGGGGAGGCGGAGGCGGAGGGGGAGGGGGAGGGGAGGCGGTCACCTGACGCTCGTGGCGGATCTGCTGCGTGGTGTGCGGGGCGGGTGGTGGCGCGGGGAGTGCGCGAGCGCTGTACACACAGGGGAGGCGGAGGCGGAGGCGGAGGGGAGGCGGTCACCTGGCGCTCGTGGCGGATCTGCTGCGTGGTGTGCGGGGCGGGTGGTGGCGCGGGGAGTGCGCGAGCGCTGTACACACAGGGGAGGCGGAGGCGGAGGGGGAGGGGGAGGGGAGGCGGTCACCTGACGCTCGTGGCGGATCTGCTGCGTGGTGTGCGGGGCGGGTGGTGGCGCGGGGAGTGCGCGAGCGCTGTACACACAGGGGAGGCGGAGGCGGAGGGGGAGGGGAGGCGGTCACCTGGCGCTCGTGGCGGATCTGCTGCGTGGTGTGCGGGGCGGGTGGTGGCGCGGGGAGTGCGCGAGCGCTGTACACACAGGGGAGGCGGAGGCGGAGGGGGAGGGGGGAGGCGGTCACCTGGCGCTCGTGGCGGATCTGCTGCGTGGTGTGCGGCGGCGGGTGGTGGCGCGGGGAGTGCGCGAGTGCCTGGCGCGCCGCCTCGAGCCACGCAAGTGCGTTCTTCGATGCTTCCGCTACTTTCTGCATGTCCGCCTCCGCGAGGTGGGCGTACTTCGCGTCCCCGCTCCTGATGGATGATATCGCGGTTTTAAAACGGTTATGAAGAGCGATTTGTTTAGTTCTTGACACCAGACCCCTTAAAGGCTGGAGTAAAGAATCCGAGAATAAGGGCCTGCGCTGCGTTAAGCGGGAGCATGGAGCGTGCAGTTTTCATGACATTACTAAGAGCAGCGCTGCGACGGGACATCCTCCTCACGCAGCCCTGGTCTGTGCGTACATCCACTGCGTGCTCACTGCATTTAGCGTAGTGCAGGCCCTAAATCACGCTTGTTCATCATACATGTTTAATTAATCTTTTATCAAATTATTGGGTGCTCATAAAAATATGTTACATGTTACAATATAAAAGATTAGTGTTAGTTGGGTCTTTAAAGTGGTCAAATAGAACCCAAAGGGGTCCGGTTTTAGGAGGATTAGACCCTGCCTTGCACAGGCATCTGATGACGGCGGCGGAAACCCCTGCGAGGTAGGTCTGATTGAATGCGTCAAGCCTTTTCCTGATACAAAAAGAGATTTATTACATTTTCTATTTCAAGCATTAAACTGCTAATTGAGTCGTATAGTATCAAAGGCGGCAAAGTAGGTAGATTTTCAAAAATGAGATATGGGTATGGTAACACAGGAAATTTAAAAACAAATCTTAAAAATCTCTCATTCAGGATTACAGATGACCATAATACCCTTAAAAACTTGATTTAAAACTCAATTTGGTTTCAAAGGTGGCAATCTTTCTCATCTCGCAATCATAACCAGCCATATTTTAATTTCAACCAATCAGAAGAGTTTCTGCAATAGCGTCGCAACATGGCAGAAAGTGCAGTTCAATACATATTTGTGTTGAGTTTTTAGTGATTTAAAGTTTCTTCTTTAGTATTTGATACTTATCATGGAGCAAACTCCAACACATACTACTAATTACACAAGCAAACGAAGAAGGAATAGCGATACATGGAAGAGGAATGTGATAAAAAGCTAAGATAATTTCGTGTTATTTACTAGGTTAGGGTTGGCACCTATTTGATTTTCCTGTGTAAATATAATTACACGGATAAAAGTCACAAAAAACATTATAATAATAATATTTGTTGATTTCTGTTGATAGTTACGGGTCCTGCCCGTGGAATATTGTTTCATGTTTGAAACATGAATTTTTGTTATCCTTTTCTCATCATTACATTACCGGTTATCCATATACTAATATGTATGTAGAAATATAGCTTTTTTATTAAAATTTTTATTAAATAGGAGCGATAGAACGTACCAATAATAGTCCATTCATTACAGTTACTTAAATTTAGTTGATTTTATTATAATATTCCATTATCGTGATGGCAAATACATATTATGATGTCTGCGGTGTGTGCCCAATTGCAAGTGATCTTCCAAATAGAACGCAAGACTCCGGCTTAATAAAACCTGGTCTTTAGTTTCTTATTATTATTTGATTTTTTATGTTTAAGTCCAAATTTTATTCAAACATTGTGTGATTGCGTAAACAAAAGTTTTGTTTTTTACTAGGAAATAATGTTATTTATTTTTTTTTTACTTTAAATAATTTGATTTTTGTTTCAGTCTATTATTTGTTCTTTATTTCTGTTAATTTTCAATAAAAATATTAATTAAATATAATAATCTTTAATTTTGACAACCCTGTTCATACTCGGCTATCATAACATTTAGTTCGCGTCAAAGGCGGCCATATTTACCAAGCTTTGGTTCAAAATCGGCCATTCTAATATTTACTATCAAAGGCGGCAATATAGTAATTTTATTTTATTATTGTGGTGCCTGTGGTTCATTTTTCGCAATGATTTTATGTTCATTGACATTCAAAATAACTACAAATCGTAGTTAAATGTCAATTATAAAAATCCTCCCATAAAGACGAGACTAAACAGTTTTTTTTGATTTGCCAAATATTTGGTTAGCCCTACTTTGCCGCCTTTGATACTATACGACTCAATTTATAAATCTAAAGATATACTTTACTTGAAAAACTTCAACATGGTCAAGGTTTCAGGCAACACTAACCGCTATGCTACCGAGACCATGATGATCCATTATAACTTACTTGTAAAGATCCACTGCTTTATTGACTAATTGAATAGCTAAAGATAAGTCATCTAGCGCTCCGGGTCTGAGCTCGAACTCGAGACGCCGTTGCTTGATAGGCTCGCCTTCAGTCCGCAGTTCCGACAGCTTGTCACTGTACACCTGAAACGGGAAAACTTCATTTTGTTAACATGAAAAAAAAAATACAAAAAGGCATAACCTTTTTTTTTAGATTATCAAAAACAATTTAAGAAGTTTATTATTTATTAAAATATTTTGGCGTTTATGCGTGTTCTGCCTTATGGTATGGTAATGCTCATGAGGCCTGAGATAAAGCACGATTATCTGATAGGAACCTGTTCATTGTCGATCCGTATAGACCTAGGTTTTCTGATTCAGCAACAGAGAAGCCAGTAGCGAATTTCATGAGTGGGTTGTTTGAAAACAAAATAATAAATAAATATTTCCAACAATTACACCAATTAGCCTAGCCTTAAAGTAAGCACTGTAGGTTATGGGATACTAGGGTAATGAATACATATAAATATACCTATATAGAAATACATATTACACCCACGACTGGAGTACAAATGCTCGTACTCATCACACAATCATCTACCCCCACCGGGATTCGAACCCCGGACCTGTCGAGTTGGCGACACCTTGAAACCTGGCGTTCAAACCACTCTGCCACGTAAGTCGAAAATGTTTAAACAAAAAGTAAAACCTACTTCACAATCGAAAATGGATATACAAAGTTTATATCTGGGGCCCAATTCTCGCGGCATAGATATTATATCACCTTCGATATATATCGAATGATCTGCCTTTTATCGAAGGAAAACCTTTTTGCCCTATTCTCACCATGTCGCAATAGATATTTATCTACGGATGATCAGTAGACATACATCGACTGGTAAAGAGCCTTCGATATATAAATATCTATGGATCTTGGCATGTCAATCTTGTTATTTCCACTTTTTTTACCTATTATTTGTTGTGTTGTCGTGTGTCATTGCCAATTATTGTTACCTCCAGATGTTGTTAACTGCCTTCATAAATAATTAGGAAATAAAGAAGTAGGTAAACAATGGTGTCGATTCTGGCGTGATTCTCTAAACTTCTTCTTTTTCTTTTTTTTATGGCATGCACAGTTTTTGCGTTCAGCTTCTCTAAACTTAATCCTAAATTTAACATCAGTCTCTCTTTTTCATTCTGTATAGAGAATGACAAGGAAACACTGTTTTCAAGTTTAAGTTTAGATTTAGAGAATCGTGCCAGAATCGACACCAGTTTATATTAACGATGGATGAGTTGATTCATGTTTTCATCAATGATTTAGTGATTGCTGCTGCTGTGCTAAGGCGCCGCCGTTGTGAGAGCAAGAGGGCCCATTTGAAATGAGGGGCGCCGACTTCATAAAAAAATTACGTTTAAACAAAAATTTGGTTATAAATCTATAAAGTTATGAATGACATTGGTATCGATTCTGACATGATTCTCTAAACTTAAAACTAAATTTAACATCAGTCTCTCCTTTTCATTCTGTATGGAGAATGACAAGGATACACTGTTGTCAAATTTACGTTTAGGTTTAGAGAATCATGCCAGAATCGACACCATTTTCTTATTGACGATACGGAGTTTTTGGCGGGATTTCTGCGAGTGCGGTTGGCGTCTTATTTTAATTATTCTAAAATTCGTTCATAGTGGCTATTGTGAAATAAAATTGGTGTGATTTGGTGTTACAACCGTCTGCGCAACTGAAGAATTAGTGGAATCTTTAATATATACGCTATTCCGGTCAAGTGGACGCGAGAATTTTATTGTAGTGTTGACTACCTCACAGAAGCTTAGAGAAAAAGCCAACTCCATAAATTTCGTGCCAAACACTCCAAGAAACGTTAGAATGCGTCACACCGACATTCTAATGTAAAAAAAGAAGATTAATATAACTAAAGACTGGGCTGTATGGGCATTGTTCCCTTTGCCTTCCCTAAAAAGGGAAAATCTTAAATAATATTGACGTTTCATTATACATAACGTTGAAATTATACACGCATACAATTTAGGTAAAGTTGAGATTTCTTATACTCAAAAAATGTATACTCATATTTTAATATGAATGGAATTCCTAAAATATCATTTTGTTGCTTGTAAAATTCTGCTCTAATTTATTATTATTTTATATAGACTATGATGTTAACTTAATCGAGAAAAACGGAACGCATTCGGCAGTGACAGAATATCTACGATAGATATAATATCATTGGAATATCGAAAATCCACGAGAATAGCATTTTTTACCATCAGTAGATATTTTCAATAGATATCCCTCCTTTCGATATTATCTCGAAGCCGATATAATATCTACGCCGCGAGAATTGGGCCCCTGGTCTGTTCCATATTTCAATCTTGGCTTTGACCAACTTCCAAATCAAAGAACAGATATATTTTTTTAATCTTTAGTTCCAATTTTGATTATATATTTTTAAAATTTTGTATTTCATTCACTTGAGTGAAAATTACATCGTACAAGTAAACAATAAACGAAAATGCTCATAAAATAAAACTACTGGGTCAAACCAAAAACTTTTTTATGGAACCAAACCGCAAGTATCTCTGATTGAACAAAAGAGGAATCACTCAAATCGAACCGAATTTTTTTAAGTAATCAGTGTATTTATAAAAAAAAGTATCGTGAAAATTACATCATGTAAGTAACAAAAATGCTTATAAAATAAAAACTACCAGGCCAAACTAGATCAACATTTTATGGGATCATGTTAACTATTATGCAACAAACAAAAAAAGAATCACGCAAATTGGACTAGAAATCTCGGAGTAACCAGTATACATACATTACAAAAAAAAACATACCAACGAAATTGAGAATCCGCTCCTTTAAAAATCTTTATAATCCAAAAACTCAAATCGATGCACATGGTGGTGCTGTGAAGCTGTAAACTATTGTCGACGATACCTGTCGGTTTTGGTCCTCGCCCTCGTCGTACAACCACTGCTCGAGTCCGTCGAGGCGCCCCACGAGGGCGACGCGTTGATCGTCCGCCACAAAGTCGTGCAGTGACTCGCCCTCGGACAGTTTCCCACGCAATTCGTATACGTATTCCTCTAAAGCGTTGCGGGCGTCCGCGCGCTCCTTTTCTTGACGGTCTTGCGCTTGCATTTTACCCTGAATTTAGAATGGGGAAATATCATTAACAAACACATTATAGATATAATCATTCCCCTTTACAACTGTAATTTATTAGATCTGTGTAAATTTTGGTTGGCATATTCTGAGAACGAAAGCCTCTTAATAAACAAGAACAAAAAAAAACGCTGCAATATAAACGTATGCTGCAATAAAATGTGCAAAAAAGTACTGTGTGGTCATCAGTTTGCATGGAAATTGACCATAGGCATAGAAAATTTGCTCTGGTATCTTGAGGCAAAGAGTACTTGTGTGCCATACACTTAAGAACAGTGTTATTTGTGTGTAGTCTTCAAAATTATTAGGAGTTTTATGTTTATACTTTATCTTTGCCATGACTTTGAATTTAATACTGATTATAGATATTTTATTATATAATTATAAATAATCACCTCCTGTTCAATGTATCCGTTAAGCTCTTGTTGAGAGTATCCGTGAGTTCTCGCATCTATCGGCAATTCGACAGTTTTTACTAAAACCTTTTTTGATTTCTCTTTCGATTTGTCCTTTTTATCATCAGCGTTTTCCTGAAAAGTAAAAACAACAGTTCACAACTAATAAGTTAATATCCTTCCCCATCACCACAAAAGCTTGGAACAAAGGTACAAAATTAAGTTAGTATTTAAGGAGTAACTTCGGTTTTTCCAAGCTATGTGGTGACCCATTTGCACCTACATGAGACACCACAAATTTTTAGCAATCAAATCAATATTCAAACAATATTACTAAAATACAAGTACACTAATTACCTTTCCTAAATAGCTGTTACATAAACCTGTCATGAACAGCGCAGGATTAAAAAACATGCGTGGACACAGAGATAGAATGTAAAACGAAAATTGCTTAAAAAGCGAGTAAATATGGAGTCGAAGGCACATACAGTTTCAGTTCAAAACAATAAAAATGTGCAAATGGGACCTCCAATTGAGGATGGGGAATTTCGGAACCGTGATGTCTGCTGCCTGTAAGCAGATTGATTATGGATTGTAAGTGTAGTAAATAATTAAGCGAGTCTAGCTGTCGTATTTATAAACAAGTGAAAGTTATTACTTCTGCCTAAGTAATTACTTGATACTTGACAACATATTTCATTAAATATTGATCAAAGTACAAACTGTCAAAAATAAGGATTAAATAGAAACCACTTTCGTTGTTAAGTTGAAGAATTGTGGTGTCAAATTGGTTAGCAACAAAGTAATTACTTAGCGACAAGTGATTACTTGTTTATAAATACGAGAGTAATTTGTGTACATAGCAACAAACACCACTTAGTTCAAGACTGTTTTCAATGGACACACGCGCTACCGAAACGTACCCCGCTGAACCACTGTCCTACTCTCTGTGTCCACGACTGTTTTTGTTGTGGCTCGCCTTTCATTTCATCTTCTCTCACCTCTTGGTTATCGGGACCGTTCTGTTGTTGCTCTTGGGAACCACCGTTCGTGTCCATCGGTGCCTCTTGACTGTTATTGACGTTCTCATTAGAGTTTTCCATTTCGACATTATCAGTTTGTGTGTCTTGTTTCTTTTCAACCAGAGATGCGGATGCCACGGTTATGATGCCATGAATATTGACACGGACTTTCAGCTTCACTTTTTGGGACTCGCCTTCTGGTGTTGGTTGCACATCTCTTATATGCCACTGACCTGTTATGATAGTAAAATAAATAAATATATGTGTAAACATGGAATACATATAATAGCAGATTAGCTTACAAATGACATAGCAATAAAAATTAGATTTTTAACTCATTATATACTAAGTAAATAAATAGTTTTTGACTTACCAATAAATGTGTCTGGGAATGGTACTTGATCAGAATAATAGGCGCTGACTGTGAAAGGTTCTTTGCGGTAAAATGTCAACATTTTCGAGAAGGGAGCTGCATGGAAAGCAGGGAACACCTGAAAATATAAAGTTTTTTATGGCACCTAATAATAAAATTTGCATACCGTTAAAGTGCATGTGAGGACATCTATTTATTTATTAATTAAAGGTCTGCCCAGATTTTCGCACCATAAGTTACACAATCTATAACTTATTTGAATTATAGAGTTTAAAAACAATTACAAAAAACAAAGTTGATGAATCTAAAGAAAATATAACTAGAAAAAATTCCACGCGGACCAGGCAGCAGACGGGACTCGAACCCGCACCCTTCGCAATCCGGGCGAATGCACTGACCAATTATGCTACCGCGGCCCTCACGGACCGCGTCGAAATTCCTCTAGCCATTCTTACGCTGCAAGGCAGCGCCATCTCTTCGCATAATAGGTAACCCACAATGTCAAATGAATACTTTCACAAGTATTAAACAATTGAAAGAAGAAATAGCAATCATAGTTTTATTTTTTATTATTTTACAATGTCAAATGAATACTTTCACAAGTATTAAACAATTGAAAGAAGAAATAGCAATCATAGTTTTATTTTTTATTATTTTAAAGCATGTAACTGCTTGATGTTGAAATCTAAAGAAAATATAACTAGAAAAAAATCCACGCGGACCAGGCAGCAAACGGGACTCGAACCCGCACCCTTCGCAATCCGGGCGAATGCACTGACCAATTATGCTACCGCGGCCCTCACGATTAAACATCAAGTAGTTACATGCTTTAAAATAATAAAAAATAAAACTATGATTGCTATTTCTTCTTTCAATTGTTTAATACTTGTAAAAGTATTCATTTGACATTGTGGGTTACCTATAATGCGAAGAGATAGCGCTGCCTTGCAGCGTAAGAATGGCTAGAGGAATTTCGACGCGGTCCGTGAGGGCTGCGGTAGCATAATTGGTCAGTACATTCGCCCGGATTGCGAAGGGTGCGGGTTCGAGTCCCGTTTGCTGCCTGGTCCGCGTGGAATTTTTTCTAGTTATATTTTCTTTAGATTTAAACATCAAGCAGTTACATGCTTTAAAATAATAATAAAAAAAAAAAAAGTTGATGAAGTCAATTCTGGCACGATTCTCTAAACTTAAACTTAAATATGACAACAGCATATCCTTGTCATTCTCTAAACAGAATGAAAAGGATACACTGATGTTTAATTTAGTTTAAGTTTAGAGAATCATGCCAGAATTAACTTATGTTTTGCAAATATTATTTATCAAGGAGGCAACTTGCGACGGCAGCGCGATGAAGTCACCGATTCGAATTTTTGTAAACCACAATAATATCACAATCGTTATCGTTCTGATCAGTAGTGTTATTAGCATCCTGTCGCAAATCAGTTGTAAGTTAGATATTAGGTTTGATGGTTTGCCATCAACCAAGGCATTATTAAAGTACATTTGTAAATAAAGACAAGGAGATCAGTTATAGGTAAAAAAAAAATTGGTGCGTGTACTTATGTAGGCGCGTGAGAAGTTATCCTTCTTTGGCATCGTTTAAAATTAGTTTTTAATTGCATGCAAATAATTAATTACAATAAATTAATAAAAAGTCTGGGAAAGGACACAGTCAATCAGTTTTAATTTGAAAAAATAAATAAATAATCAAAATATTCAATTAAAATCGCTACTGAATATAATTTATTAGAACATATGTGATTTGCACTTGTATGAAACTCAAACACGTAATCCGAATATACAAACTAGAAACATGTGGATAAATATTATAAATCTGAATACCTATAACTGTTAGTTTATTACAAAAAATAAAGATGTGGTTTTTGGTTCTACTACACCAATGGTCAAGAGATGGCGCTGTAGTCTCCTGAATCGCGCTTTGGTTTCGTTGTTCCAGATTAATAAATACTTTTGATATTACAAATATGAATACCTATAACTGTTACTTTATTACAAAAAATAAAGATGTGGTTTTTGGTTCTACTACACCAATAGTCAAGAGATGGCGCTGTAGTCTCCTGAATCGCGCTTTGGTTCCGTTGTTCCAGATTAATAAATACTTTTGATAGGCCTTCACAATGCAGTCATTAGCACCCACTAAATAGAGATTCTATTTCTATTTTGTTGGTAGATTTTCTTAATGTGCGGTAAACACAAAAGTAAAGTTAAGTAAGTTAAAATTTTGTGTTACAGTGATGCGCGCGCATCTTAAAATTTCACTCTCATCATTTTTTCATAACGCGCCTAAAGAAGTATAACTTCAAAAAGTACGAGGCGCACGGCGTACGGTTGCACGTCGGTAACGCTGAACTCTGAGCATGGCGCACTTTAGTCACTGCCTCGTCCCACAGTACCCTAACGTAGACACGCACGTATTACACATACCTCCATGTTTCCGTTCACGCCCCGCGCCGCGTCCCACGCGAGGCGCACGGCGTACGGCTGCACGTCGGTCACGCTGAACTCGGAGCATGGCGTATCACACATACCTCCATGTCTCCGTCCTCGCCCCTCGCCGCATCCCATGCGAGGCGCACGGCGGTCACGCTGAACTCTGAGCATGGCGCACTGTAGTCACTGCCTCGTCCCACAGTACCCTAACTTAGACACGCACGTATCACACATACCTCCATGTCTCCGTCCTCGCCCCGCGCCGCGTCCCACGCGAGGCGCACGGCGTACGGCTACACGTCGGTCACGCTGAACTCTGAGCATGGCGCACTGTAGTTACTGCCTCGTCCCACAGTACCCTCCACGAAGACACGCACGTATCACATACTTCCATGTCTCCGTCCTCGCCCCGCGCCGCGTCCCACGCGAGGCGCACGGCGGTCACGCTGAACTCTGAGCATGGCGCACTGTAGTCACTGCCTCGTCCCACAGTACCCTAACGTAGACGCACACGTATCACACATACCTCCATGTCTCCGTCCTCGCCCCGCGCCGCGTCCCACGCGAGGCGCACGGCGTACGGCTGCACGTCGGTCACGCTGAACTCGCGCACGCGCACCGCCGGGCTGAGCATGGCGCACTGTAGGGCGCACCCGCGCGCCACTGCTTCGTCCTACAGTAATGAAACGAAAATATATTGCCACAAACGCTCTGGAACCAAAACCGCCAACATACTGGAAACATTAGCCCTAGCACAAACTAATATCGAATTCGAATAGTTTGCGAGTCCAAAACGTCATTGTCAGATTTTGTATGGAAACTTGAACAACAGCGCCACAACGGACGTAACGAGAACTAAAAATGAGTACACATTTGACAATGGCATATTGGACTCGCAGATGTTACGTCGATATTGGTTCATGCTTAGGGCAGATTAAACACAATGCCGCGGCACGGGACATGAATGACCTCGATAAATGCCGAGGATGCATCTGTTCTAATATGAGCCTTATTCACAATACAATATGTACACATATCGTTTAATAGAATTCTTAATTTTTTCATAATTTTAGCATTTAACTAGAATCTCACTAAAATGGTATAAATGTGCAATAGTCCAGTCGGAATAAACGTGAGACCTATTCTAAGACACCAGCCCTTAGCCAATTTTTTCCTAGATAGTATAGACCCCCACGAATATGCCCTCCATTTGTCCCCGCTAGAACCCGTGTTTTGTAGCCAGGAAAATTGTTTAAACAAAGAAAAACCGGTTTTTTTGAGTTTTTTTGCTTGTAAACGGGGATTTTGAAAATTTTTTTGAATCAAAGTTGTTCATTAGCTTGCCCTCTACAAAATCAGTTCTATGAAAAAATAACGTGAGATTGTTAGTTTAGCAGTAAATTGCAATTATGTCGGTTTTACGTTTGCAACAATTCAACATGTTATAATAAACATTTTGATTTCTAAAGTAGTTTATCATGTGGGTAACGCCACTCCCAAGAGAGTCATGTAAAATTTATCGACCTGTGTCGCAAACTTTAGCAACAATTCTCAATCTCCGAAAAAAAAGTACTTGCCTGTCCCGTCTTTCCCAGAAGGCGCACAGCGGGGAAAAAAATTCAGGTGATTCGATTCACCAAGAATTTTGAGGAATCGATCGAGTAGAAAAAAATCGTTAGTAAAAATGTTCGTTTTTGGACGATTTAAATTTTTTTTAAAAATTGACGAACAAAAATTTTTTTTTTAAACTAATGTATTTTTCTCTCCTCAACTCGAATATACGATTGAAAATTTAAAAAATTCAGTTTATTTATGTACAGAAATTATTTACAAAACTATTAACTAAAATTCGATTACAAGACTGCGTTGTATTCTATATTTCTAATTAAATTAATTTCGTCCTTTTTTCTTCCGGTTCATAATCGGAATTCTCAGGGTATATTAGTATTATATATATATATTTTATATATATATATATTCAGAATAGTATATTCGAGTTGAGGAGAGAAAAATACATTAGTTTAAAAAAAAAATTCTACATCAATTTTTAAAAAAAATTTAAATCGTCCAAAAACGAACATTTTTATTAACGATTTTTTTCTACTCGATCGATTCCTCAAAATTCTTGGTGAATCGAATCACCTGAATTTTTTTCCCCGCTGTGCGCCTTCTGGGAAAGACGGGACAGGCATGTACTTTTTTTTCGGAGATTGAGAATTGTTGCTAAAGTTTGCGACACAGGTCGATAAATTTTACATGACTCTCTTGGGAGTGGCGTTACCCACATGATAAACTACTTTAGAAATCAAAATGTTTATTATAACATGTTGAATGGTTGCAAACGTAAAACCGACATAATTGCAATTTACTGCTAAACTAACAATCTCACGTTATTTTGTCATAGAACTGATTTTGTAGAGGGCAAGCTAATGAACAACTTTGATTCAAAAAAATTTTCAAAATCCCCATTTACAAGCAAAAAAACTCAAAAAAACCGGTTTTTCTTTGTTTAAACAATTTTCCTGGCTACAAAACACGGGTTCTAGCGGGGACAAATGGAGGGCATATTCGTGGGGGTCTATACTACCTAGGAAAAAATTGGCTAAGCGCTGGTGTCTTAGAATAGAAGTCGGTCCAAATTATGGCTATTCCGACTGGACTACAAGTTTGTATTTTTGCTACAATCATATAAATCGAACCAATGGATTTGGAAGTATATTTATCAAAAATACAAACTTTAAAAAAAAATCCTAATGCTCAAAAATGTAAAGTCTAGCTCTGTAAAAACATCTCAAGTTATTAACATGATGAGTAATTATGTCATAGTGATATTTACTTATCAGGTAAATTAGATTTCAATTGAACTCTCCTTGGATATCAAGCTGGAAACAGACCATTTATGCAAATGAGGTTATTTTTTAGCATTAATAAATTCAGTGCATATAACCCGTTGAAATTGTTTTATTTAATTAATAAATTGTTGATACAATTACAATACTCATTACTTACCTGATTGAGTGTGGTTGATGCATGCTTTCCAAAAACTTGTTCAATTAATCCTTTAACTGCTGGGATTCTGGTGGATCCACCAACAATTTCAACAGAATAAATATCTTCTGGTCTCAATTCTAAAATACAAATGGATTTGTAATTATAGGTTTATTAAAAATACAAAAATGAAAAGAATTTAAAAGTTATTACATACTTGCATTATGAAGTATAGATCTCAATGTCCTTTCAAATCTAGTAAATGTTTCAGCACATAATTGCTCCATTTGAGCGCGCTGCATGTCGCCAGACACATCACGTTCTTCCATAAAGCATTCAATGTTTAGAGGCAAGCGGGTACTATTTGCAGACATTTGCTTTTTTAACTTTTCTACTTCTTGCAATAAACGTTGGTAAGCCCTGCAAACCATTTAGAACATGTATGAAAAATTTCCATTCTATTCAAGAGATAAAATAAGGCATGGCCATTCCCTATGGATGCAATTGCTATTAGGCGCCATATTGCAGCGCCTGTGCGTAATAAAGCTTGAAGATTTGATTAACGACAGATAAGACACCAGAACAGGTGAAGCTTGTAAAGAAAGTGCACGCAATTTCTATACTTATGTTTATTTACTGCTTCTTGCAATATAGAATCCTTACTAAATATAAAGTTAGAACAAGCTATTGGGGTACTGCACAGACCTAGATTGAAGTAATGGCTTGCCCCATGTACTTAAAATAGTATGAAAACCGAGCTTGTCGAATTTTTATTTAACATACCCCCCCCCCCCCCCCCCCCGTTACCTATTTAAATTTTATAGTTTTACAGCTTAAATAGATAGATATTATTTAAACATCACCATTGAAGTCCAGTATCGACAATGGTGACACAAAGAAATAAATTAGGGTGAAAGATAGACCATTCGTCTCTGTTTCGGTCCACATAGTACACTTGCCTTATCTATTTTGATCTAAGTCTGTGAGGTGCCAAAATTTTTCAATCTTCCTCATACATACCTTTGGTTTTTTCTAGGGTCAAGTTTGAATCTGGTGGTAAAGTCTTGACAAAAATATTCTGCCAATGCAGAGTCGATATCTCGACCTCCACATTGTGGGTCATTTGCAGTGGCCAAAACTCGTAATTTGCCCTTGTTGAATGCACAAGCTGCTACCTGTTAGAAACATGATCAAAGTGCCTGTTTCACTATGTTCAATCATTTGAATAATGCAGGAGCCATTGATTTTGGGCTGGGACTTACAATTTATAAAATACATATATGTCTGATTCAAGTTAGCTTATGCTGTGAATTGTAGTACATGGAAATCAATAGTGAAGTAGCAAAAGTAAAAAATAAACTTTAATAATTAAATTACCTGAAGTGAACTATGACCAAAATCAACAAACACAACATTTCTTGGTTTCTCTTCCAGTGCAGGCAAATCCTGTTTGTAAATACCATAGGTCAAAGCTGTTGCAGTAGATTCATTCATCAAGCGAAGTACATTGAGTCCTAAAATATATTTTTATTGAATAAAAAATTACTCCACATAAATATATTCACACAAAGTTTATTGCTGTATAGATTATCATCATTTAGTTTACTGATTTATTTTATTCATGTGAAGAAGTAAATATAGTTGAATTTTGACTAATGAGAATTATTGTAATAAGAGGTTACTGGTCATAACCAAAAGACTAATTTAGCCATGGAAACAGTTATATTATACACCAGTTCAATTGCAAGTGCAAGACCTTTTTCAGCTTTGGGTGTGTTATTCATAACACAGTAACAAACCCAAAGGTGGTAGTTATATGAATTTAGTATTTATTTGCCTTGTGTTGTTAATTTAAAAGGCCTGTCCCCTGGGTGAGGGATGAGCAAACTTGTTTCTTATCACACCAATATTTATTATAAGAATCTAAGGGGGGCCTACAAGATTTAGAAAATTAAATCAAAATATAGCTCTGTAATGTTTGCCCCTCACCCTGCAGCACAGCAGCAGGGTAAACACGCCCCTATGTTTGCTGCGAAGTAAATAGGTAGGTGCCACTAAATGATATGTTTTGGTGAGAACCTTTGATTTTTATTTGATAGTCGCAGATTGGATTCCAACCATTTGAGGGCCAGTAATGGGCTGCGGGGCCCAGTTTACCCATCACTGCCCTAGGTGCTAATGCTGGTCATGTGGCATTGGATATCATCAGCTTTTGAACTCAATAGTTTGAAGATGTGATGTCATAAGTCTATAGGGCATGCCCATCTAGCCCGCTATAGTGAATTCATACTTGAAGAAAGTTCATTTTATAACAGATATGAAAAATGTAATTTGTTTTGGCTCTCAACATCTCTAATAAGGAAATACAATAATAATATTAAACTTAGAATATTTCTCTTAGTTTAAATAATAATAAAAAATACTTAACCCACCTACCAAGCTATAACACAAACCAGAAGTAAGTTTAAGATCCTTTTATTTGACAATTTAGGAAAGAGATTAGCTTAAGTCACAAGTTTTCCATTATCTCAAATACTTTACTTTGGATGCAAAATACAGTCTATATTGCGCTACTTATGTTGCTTATGTTTTACTATCATTGTATAAATTCTTAGAATTAATATAAACACCTACCAGAAATTGCTGCAGCATTTAACAAAGCATTTCTTTCAGCATTTGTGAAGTAGCTTGGGACTGATATAACACAATCATTAATCTGTGTTTGAAGAGCAGTTGCAGCTATGTCCTTCAGTTTTGTAAACAGCATTGCAGTAATCTGTTTAAATAATAATAAATTTAGTGGACAAAAGCTTAAAATAAGTCAATTATTTATATGATTAGCTCGCATTGTTTAGATAACATTACAACCAAGATTGTAATGAATAACGTTTGTCCATTTTATAGTTTCAAGAACTTACAACAAGGCATTTAAAAATTGCCTACAAATCAGTCATCTCAGTTTTATGCCTATAAAACGAAAAGTATTTACAATTTTGATAAACAGTTTTTTTATCAAAATGTACACGAAATTTGCTTTAGAAAAAACTAATCACTAGTTCACATACAAGAAAATAATATAAAAAAATATTTCGTTCGTGTATTTGAATTTAGAATGACCGTTACACCGCGCGGATTTTGTTTTTTTTTATTTCTTCAAAAACACGAACTCAAGAGATTCTTTGTATTCGAAGTATTAATCATGAATAATTTATTCAATAATTAAAACTTAAAACATTACAATTATTATCGAAATTATCAAATGAAAACATAAGGTAAGGACCCCTTTTTTTCGCTGATTTTTTTACGACGGCGTCTGCAAAAAAAATCTAAAAAAAACATAATTCACGGAGACCCGCAAACGAAACATCAAAATAGAGTAACTAAATAAAATCGGGGTAATGCCAGAAACCAAAAGTCGGTTGATGGCCGCCTAAGAGGTTAAGATTTCCCTTTCATTCTTTATAGAGAATGACAAGGATACACTGTTGTCAAATTTAAGTTTAGGTTTAGAGAATCTTGCCAGAATCAACACCAATATAAACTTATAATGAGCTGAATACAACTTTATCTTACAAAAATATGAGAAAGCCAATAATTTCCTCATAATCATGCATGTGTGAAACCAGATCCTTATCTGGTGATAAGAGACTCCATAGGACAATAGGCAAAAACAAAAAACTGTTAAAATAATTGATTTAAAATTTTAAATAAATAAATAGATATTTAAATAATAAATAAATAGTCACCATCACACAAAGTATAAGATCAAAACAAACCTGTTCTGGACTAAAAACATTATCCTCTCCAAGATAATTTACTCTAATTCCAATTCCACCATCCGGCCTTTGTTCTATTTTAAATGGAAAGTGTTTTATTTCTTTCTGTACATAAGGGTCAGAGAACTTTCTTCCAAGTAGTCTTTTGAAACCAAATACAGTGTTTTTCATATTTGTGACCATCTGATTTTTAGCAGCAACACCTAACATACGATTTTTGGGAGAGAATGCTACACATGATCTGAAATCAATGAAAATGACATGAGAGACTCTGTGTGAATGTGCAAATGTATCAATAAATTTGCAAAACTTTTGAGTATGAATAAATCAACTAGAATAGAGTATTTATTTTATAAGTTAGATAGTAGATTGGGTATTTTCACAGCATGTATGATATTTATTATGTGCTATCCTATTCTTTTGTGAAAGCTGGCTGCTGTTTACTGGGACAATTCTACCAATGTCAGGGTTGAGTACTACATGGGTGATCAGATTTTGTAGTCTTTTGCTATCACACAAATAAGTGGATAAATTTAGCAAAGTTTAGTCTTACAATTTAATGTATTTTGACATATAAAGTGAAATTCAAATGAGGAAACTGAAATAAGGCTTATTTCTGAAGATTAAATGGCCCTATGACGATACATTATTAAAAACTTTAAGTAGAATTGGATAATCAGTCACGAAAATTGGTTATTACTTACGGTGTCCCCCGAAGGCTGTAATCGTTGGCTATAGTTTCTATACCACCTGCTTTAGCTACAGCAATATAGCAAGATTCATTTCCAAAATCTATACCAATCACAGACATAGCGGCCATTGTGGAGGAAAAATTATTCGATATTCAATTCTTCTAACTAGAATTCTCACAAAACAGCGATGAACACGTTGTTTTAGCCTGACAATAGTTGAATCTAATCAACCAACTTGCGGTCAATCATACGCCGGTTCGTTTCGTTTCACAATTTCACATCACACCAGTGTACTCTGTGCCAGTCTTTACCCGAATTTTCTAGAATGCAAGTGCCAGTGTTGCCAGATGCCAAGTATAACGATAAATTTTGCGGATTAGCATTCACAAAAGTGATTCTATTCCTGTCATTTGCAATTTTGTTGGCATTGATCGATATGTTTTATTTATATGTTATCGTTAGTAATATTATTTATTGTTAAAAAAATATTAAAGCTTTCGTATCATTAAATAGTTTGTTTTAAATAATCAAAGTTCATTCAAACTGTTAAAAAATAAATATAAGTATGGATGAAGGTACAAACATTGACTTTTTTTTTCAACACTGAACTTAGCGCACTCTGCTGGTGCATTTGAAAACTAATTCACGTTCCAATTAAGCATCAACATGATTCGGCATTGTGCGGCACTAAGTCGCATTATGCTCTGTAATTGAAAAGCAACCAGTGATGTCGATTCTGGCATGATCTCTAAACTTAAAACTAAATTTGACATCAGTCTCTCCTTTTCATTCTGTATAGACCGTGACAAGGATACACTGTTGTCAAATTTAAGTTTAGGTTTAGATAATCATGCCAGAATTGAACCATTATTTCAACAAAATATGTTTTCTTGATAAACCAGAGTCGATAATTAAATAATGGTAAAAAGTGAAAAAAAATTATAGTAGGATGAAACCCATTGGAAAAGGTAGAGAATATAATAAAAATGAAAGGAAAACTAAATTACGGGCGATCTGAGGTCGGGATAGGGGGAGGGGGTGAGTTTTTAAGGGTAAAAAAACGGTTAATCTCGATTTCCGGTAAAACTGCAAATCCTATAAAAAAAATGTTGAAATGGCAAAGTTGTAGGTAATAATAAGATTTACAACTTTTGTATCGACACTTTTTTCACATAACCTCAAAATTTATGTAAAAAATTCGAATAACCGAGCTTTTGGTTTTTTATTTACGAAAGGACTATGGGCAAAACACACCTAGCTCCGCCAACAATGTAATTAGTTTGAATCGATAGATCTATGAAAAACTAGCCTTTTTTATTAAAAAATATCCCGGTAGTCAAAAGATATGACACCGTAAAAAAAATATCCTGGTAGTCAAAAAATGTGACATATGGGCATATTTAAGTTAGCTGTTATAATGCTGTAATCGTGGGAGAGCCACGCAGTAGCTTAGGCTACTGCATGAATGTGCCGGCTCGACCGGAGGAATACCATGACCTCACAGAATACTGGCGTGAAGCAGTACTTTGTGCTGTGTTTCGCCGAGTGAGGCTACCGGAGGCCCAACCCCCCCCCCCCCCCTTTCCTCATGATGGCGCAGTTAAATAGGATAATACCGCAGGGGGGTACCAGCTGTTTTCACGCTGGAGAATCCCCCTCCGGACGTCCATGCCCAGAACTGTCTCCTTCTGGACGTGGACGTCGAGGCTGCCCTTCGTATTATGGGGAGGGCGAAACCGCGCTCATCACCGAAACTGCTCGAGGCCAGAGCAAGCGTCATATGACACCCCCTGCCATGTTTAACGTGGATTTCTGCAACATCAGGGGCTTACACTCCAACCTTGATGCTGTTCACTACCACCTTCAGACAGTGCAGCCGGCCTTGCTTTTTTTGACTGAGACGCAGATATCCTCTCCAGCCGACACCTCCTACCTCCAGTACCCTGGGTATACTTTGGAACATTCCTTTGTACCACGGGCTGGGGTATGTGTGTACGTTAAACAGGGTATCAGTTTCCGTCGCCTCAGCAACTTGGAAGGTAGGGACCTCTCCATCTTATGGTTGCGTGAAGACGTCGATGACCATCCCCGCATCTACGACTGCCTCTACAGGTCCCATAGCGGAAATACCGAAATTACCGACTATAGAGTCGGTCAATTTAGTAGCCACCTGGACGTGATCATAGGATCACGTCCAGGTGGCTACAGACTCCGTGCTTCAGCAGATCCCATCATCTGAAATTGTGATCCTTGGCGATTTCAATGCCCACCACTCCGAATGGCTTGGATCGCCCACTACCGATCATGCAGGCAGATCTGCTCACGACTTCGCCTTGGCCTATGGTCTGACACAACTGGTCACCTCGCCTACGCGAATCCCAGATGTCGAAGACCATACACCTTCACTGTTGGACCTTCTGCTGACTTCACATCCGGATAATTACAAAGTGTCCATAGATGCCCCTCTTGGCTCCTCGGACCATTGTTTAATCCGGAGTATGGTGCCACTCACTTACTCACCGCGGCCGCAATTTGCTGGCTGTCGTCGTGTGTGGCACTATAAGTCAGCAGACTGGGATGGGATGCGCACTTTCTTTTCATCCTACCCTTGGGGCCAGGTTTGCTTCTCGCAGAATGATCCCAACGTCGCTACCGATTCTGTCGCCGATGTTGTCCTTCAGGGTATGGAACTTTTTGTTCCTTCCTCTGTGGTTCCCATTGGTGGCAAATCCCAGCCTTGGTTTGGTCACTACTGTAAACTGGCATCTCGCCAAAAACAGATGTGTTATCAGGCTTGGGCAAACGCAGCGGCGGTCGGGGATAACAACACTAGCGATCTCAAAAAGAAGTATAACTTGGCCTCCAGGTCCTGCAAAAGAGTAATTGCCAGAGCAAAGTCGGAGCACATTAGCAGCATTGGCGAGAGATTAATAAAACTTCCCTCTGGAACACGCGCGTTTTGGTCTCTTGCCAAGGCTGTTGAAGGAAATTTCTGTAAGCCATCCCTTCCACCCCTGCACAATAGCGACGAATCGATGGCCCATACTGCAAAAAAGAAAGCGGATCTTTTATGCTCACTCTTTGCGTCTAACTCGAAATGACAGGGGATACATACCGCCGACCACCCCGCGGTGTGAGAGCTCTATGCCGGAGATCCGGTTCACACAAAGCTTAGTGCGTAAAGCACTCTTTTCCCTTGTCATCCACAAGTCGAGCGGGCCTGATGGAATCTCACCAATTGTGCTGAAGACGTGTGCTCCTGAGTTGGCTCCGGTACTAACGCGTCTTTTCCGGCTCTCCTACTCTTTAGGTGTCGTTCCGAACTCATGGAAGACAGCTTTAGTGCACCCGATTCCTAAAAAAGGCGACCGCTCACTCCCTACTAATTATAGGCCTATAGCCATCACCTCCTTGTTCTCCAAGATAATGGAGTCCATTATAAATTGCCAGCTCCTGCGGTACCTAGAGGACCACCAGCTGATCAGTGACCACCAGTACGGTTTCTGTCAGAGTCGTTTGGCTGGTGATTTACTAGTATACCTGACTCATCGTTGGGCAAAGGCGATCGAGACCAAGGGGAAGCATTGGCGGTCGGTCTGGATATCGCGAAGGCCTTCGATCGGGTTTGGCACAAAGCGCTTCTTTCGAAGCTTCCTTCTTATGGGCTTCCTGAAAAGCTGTGCAGTTGGATCACTAGCTTTCTTGCGGACAGGAGCATCAAGGTTGCAGTCGACGGTGTGTGCTCGGACTCCAAATCCGTAAACGCTGGTGTTCCACAAGGCTGTGTGCTATCGCCTACGCTGTTTCTTATTCATATCAATGATATGCTTCAAATTGATGGCATTCATTGTTATGCAGACGACAGCACGGGTGATGCCCTATATACCGGCCGCGCCAACATTTCACGGGAAAACGTCATCGAGTGCCGGAACAAACTTGTGTCTGAAGTCGAAACTTTGTTAAACTGAGTAACGAATTGGGGCCGACTTAATCTAGTCCAATTTAACCCTACGAAGACACAAGTATGCGCGTTCACCGCAAAAAAAAATACCATAACAATGCCTTTTTTGGTTTCAAAAACGTAAATTGAGTAAATTTGTAACTTCAGGCAGATTACAAACAAATTACATACCCGTTATAGATGCTGTTCGCCCATAAACATTATCCAAATCCCACAAAATTCGTCCAGCTTGGTAGTCTTCGAAACATCGCTGGAAAACTTTAAAAATCACTTCCCGCGTGCCACTCCGATTTACTTTACTCATTTTTATACCTTTCTGCGTAGTTTCGTCTTAATTTATTACAGTTTAATCCAAACAATAAAAAATACAAAAGGAAAACTTTTCCACAACTGAAACTCGATGACAGCTGATGTACATAAGTGTGGTGTTGCCAGACACATGAATAATGTTAGTTCCTCAAACATTCATGTCACGACTTTATAGACAAACTGTAGCTGCAGTTGAATGATCAGTACAAAAAAAGGTAAATAGTATTTGCAAATATTCTTCATTAACTTACAACAGGAAGAATAAATCTACTGTTTACTTCGATTAAAAATAGTCAAAATCTTTTCTAAGGGGGTAAACGAGGCGCTCAAAAACTACGAATTTTTGCAAAAAATGTAAAAGGGCTTTTAACTTACAACTAAAAGCAACAGTCTCCTTTCATTCTGTAGCATTGAAAAGAATAAGCTATTGTTTCATTGTATTTAGGACAAAGAATGGAACATACAATGCACAGACCAATAAGAGAACATACAATGTATGTAGATTTTTTTTTATCTATGCGAATAATGGCGGAACTTCACTTGGCCATTCGGATTTGCATATTTGTCATGTTTGAAAAATTTTCAACAAGTGTGGTTAGTTTGATCGACAAAACATTTGCTTTATTGACAAACGTCAACATATTTGACAAAAAAGGCAAATGATCGTCGTTTCGCTAATCTGTGATTTTGCGTCATTTGCTTTTTGGAACCGTGTGACAGATATGTGTCATAAAAATAGATATAGAATAGTGAGTCTATGGTTGTAATGTCTGTGGTTTTTGCTATTGGCATGTTTGTGGCCAAGTATGATAAGTTCATATGACAAATCATTGGATTTTTCGCATATGTTTGTGGCCAAGTATATTTAGCAAACAGGACAAACACGCGTTACCGTGACATTGATTTTCGGCACACATCAAAGGACGAAGACTAGCAAAAGATGCAATAGGCTAGTTGACTCATGTCGAATTGTATTAAATAAATGTTTATTTCTTAAAGTATTTGGTCTAATGAACCTAAATATATCGATTTCACTTTATAAAAGCAGAAGATTGCTGTAGAAATTTAATTTAAAAAAATAATTTTTAGTCTATACTTTTTAAACACTAAAAACGCTGTTCGCCACATCCGCCATGATTGTGACGTCTCTTTTAGTAAACAGCTAAATGTCATTCATACATAACTTTAAAAATTGTATTATTAAACCTGATTATAAATGAAGAGACTTAAAATATTATTCCATGAGTACTTACATCAAAGCGATCTTCGCAGAAATAAATTTTACTATGAGTCGATAAAGTTGCAGGATCGCTTTTAGCAAGTTCTAACCACGGACCTAAAAAAAAGACGGACGTAACATCAAAGGCAAATCACATGAAGCATGCAAGGTCAGACAAAATCGTTTGTTGTACACTACCTACACTCACACTAATGCACCAGGTCGGACAAACCGCTGCCATTTGACTGGGTATATGTGTTCTGTGCTATAGACTAAAATGGCCGACAGCGTTTTTGTATGTCCATGAAGTCTATTTTAAAATTAATGATTTGTAGCTTTCTAGGTCTTAAAAAAATACAATACATTTTTTTCGGTCTAATAAAAAGATGTTTTAGTAACCATTTACAACCTTTTTCCAAAAAGGGTCTACTAGCCTATTCTCGACCAGCTTCGTCACTTGTCGAAGCAATCAATCCGTCGTCTACATACAAACCCACTAGAACCTTAGAATTGTGCTGTTTCCTAATATACAAGCATGGATCCCACATAAGTTGATGTCATTTTGATATCGCATTTTCGGAGAGTATAATACGTAATATGAAATTGACATCAAAACAATATCACAATGGTCTAAGCAATTAGCGAGCATAATTGGCATGCTGCAGCGCTGCAGGCTGCAGCAGGCACACAGTCACATTACGTATTATGCTCTCCGAAAAATGCGATATCAAAATGACATCAACTAGACATCAACTTATGCGTATTATGATCAACTCTTTAAAATAATATCAACTTAAATGCGTATTACGTTCAACTTTTTGACTTAAAACAGTACGTTTGCATAATTGACTCGCAGGTGAAGTGCCGCCATGAAAGGGTCCTAAGCTGCTGGCTGCGTTCAACACCTACGCTATAAGTGCAACTTTTTACTCTGACGCTACAATTTTGACATAAAATAAAATGTTTATGTCAAAATTTACACTGGTTACACCTGGAGCGCATGTATTGAACATAGCCCTGAGCACAGATTACAGTGATTATGAACAAAGGTTTAGAACGCAGCCCTGGGTGCCTGGGTAGGGACACGATATCGAATAGAAAGTATCGATACTGTACTCATGAGTAGTATCGGTAAAAAAGTATCGTACTCGTAAAAGTATCGATACTTCAAAGTATCGAGTACATTTCATAGGGCCTTATCGGAGCCTCTGTATCCTGATTAGCAACCCCACCCCCCCCTCCCACCCCGGTGTTAGAATTGAAAGAAAAGCAATCGAATTTTATTATATAGTACTTATAATCAAAAACAAAAAAAGGACATGTAAATTCACAAATTGCTATAATAAATAATGAAAATAGAATAGCTGTGATTTCTGACACTAAAAAAGTGTTCATTAATATTACATTCATAATTTAAATGTTGATTAAAAAGATCGAAATCTTAAACAATTTAAAAGTATGAAACTTTTCAGATTTTTTTCAAATTTAACTTACTTTTCTTGAATTTTAATCATTAAAAAACATTATACCCAGTTATGTTAACTTGAATCTGACACGTAGTTAACGGCTGCCATTGGCATGCTTCACTCAAGATTATAATTATAGAAGAGGTTACGTCCGTCTTTTTTTCAGGTGGTTTCAAATAGGTATACACAGCACAGACAGAATAATAGTGGTACCTACACTTGAATAAATCAAATACAGTCAAGCGAAAAGCACAATAAACGGCGAATCAATCACAGTTCCTAACAATATGGTCGCTAAATAAATAACTATGAAACAAAACAAAGCGCAAAATAAACACACAGATTGGAAAGAATTTGAACATGTCAGTTACTGACTTTATAACAACGCAATAGGGCATTTGACAGTATTAAAAATAAAGTGCCAAAATAACGAAAAAGATATTAGTTTTCTTATCTATAGTCACGTAACCCAAAACGCTTGGGATTGGCGGAGCCTAAAATGACGTCACACGCAAGTAAACTTCCGGTCAAAGTTTTGACGTTTTAATAACAGTCGTGTGACGCCACACACTAGTAAGATGCCATATTGTCCAGAGAAACGTTTTCGCGGCAACTTGAAAATGGAGTTTTTGATTTAGTTAATTTTACTGAAATACTCGACAGAATGATGAATATCTGACGACGAAGCCTGTAAAGGCTACGAAACGTCAATAAATAAACAAAGTTTCGTGCATTAACCCGTAAAAACTAGTTTTATTGAATATCCACTTTTTACGGACTCCATAAACATTAGTCAATAACGTGAGATCGTTACCGTATGGAACGTTTTAGAAGGTTTGCTATGATTTAACAAGATGGCGTTGCCATCAATATGAAGTGCTTATCCAAATTTTTAAAGGTATCGATACTTGCCAAAAAGTACTCATTAAGTAAAAGTATCGAATACAAAGTATCGAGTACAAAAGTATCGGTATCGAAAGGAAAAGTACTCGATACCACAAAGTATCGATACTTTTTTCGTGTCCCTATGCCTGGGGCCTGGGTCACCTTCAAAGTCTATGTAGGTAACAAAAAGTTTCATTTCATACCTATTGTACATTTAATTTGTTTTGTTGAACTTGGAATTTTAATTACATCACTTTCGACTTTGAAGTGCTTCAGTATGAGTGGTGAACCTCAAGCGAAACGTACCAAAATGAGTGCTCTGGAACAATTAAAGCAGTACTCCACTGTAGTGGCAGATACCGGAGATTTTGAAGGTTAGAATTAGAACTTTTACATCTTTAATTTTAAAATGTTCAATAATAATTTTAACTTGTTCAATAATAATCATTACAATTGATAAAGTATGGAATACGCTTGTGATTCAGTTATTATTATCTGCTATCGCAACTTCGTCTTCATGACCTTCAATAATTCATCCTTGGTAAACCGCTTTCCACTGTCCATGTATGTGATAAATTTAATTTAAAATCAATTAAATGTTACTAAAATTTAATCATACAAGATTGCATATTTTTATTTTAATAAAATGATGATTTCAGTGTGTTCATTTGATTTTAGATTGAATAAGAATTTTGAATTCCATTTTACTTGGCTAGTAACAGCAGTGATAACTCAGCTTTCGGATATACTGTACTTCCAGGGCCCAAAAGTAAAAACTTCACAGTTTTTTTGGTTGTAATTTCGCATTTTTGTTGTTAAAAAGGTTTCTGTTAACCACATTATTAAAAAAATGTCACACTTATGCACTGGTAGTTTTTTAGAAAAAAATATTGAAGATTTTTACTTTTCTTATCAAGTGATACTTCACACTAGGTTAGGTTAGGTTAGTGTTGTGACCACAACGCGCGAGCCGAGCGAGCAAAGCGAGCGCGCCGCGGCAGCGGCCGGCGAAGCTCCAGAAAAAAAAATCTGTTAAAAAGACCTTTTCTACAAAAAAAAACAAGTATCACCTTTTGGGCCCTGGAAGTACAATTTTACCTTAGTAATTGGTGTAAAATTATTTTCAGCTATGAAAGCATACAAGCCTACAGATGCCACTACCAATCCTAGCTTGATCTTGTCTGCCGCTGGAATGGAACAATATCAGCATTTACTTGATAAAGCAATAAAATATGGGAAAGAAACAGGCAGGTATGAAATGAATGTTTAAAATATAATATTATGTTCTGTACTACCAATTTAACCACTCAACTGTCTGTGGATAATTTTGTATAAGAAAATCAGAATTAGTAGATAGTATTGAAACCTTTGGTACTTGAAGAAGACAGGGTCAATATCTAGAGGGATTGGAGTCTTGAATCATCCAGAGTGTCCGACATTGGAAGCCTTGTTTGGACTGTATTGGTCTCTTGAAATTAGTTTTGGTTCATTTTAACTGTAAAAGTCAGTTTTCTTACAGTTATTAAGCAGTCTTTTAAATATGTGTTAATATACCTGGTATCTGCCTGCCAGACATTTAAATAGGAAAACATATTATCAACCCTATTAGATCTTGTCTGTTCCAAATGAATTTAGTTCCAAAAGTAAACAAACATTTTACCTCCTAATTCCCATGTAATAACTCGCTAAATTGATTTCTCAGCACATTCATTTGCATTTCTAGGGGTTTGACTTATTAATTCACTATCTTCTAAAGCACTAATTTCTTTATAAATAAAAATTTTAAAATAAAATCTTGAGTGGAAAAGTAAGGTTATTTTGAAGGATGGGAATTGACTGTTGTTTATGGTTGAACAGTGTTGCACCAAAAAGTCTATTCAAAATGATTTCAATTGAGGATGGTAATCGAATAGTGAATTTATTATTTAATTGAAGTGATATGTAACAAAATGAATAATACAGTTTAAGGAACGTAATTTTTGTGTTACTGCAAATAGGAGCAATTAATTTTATTGGTATTTTGGTTTTATTTTTAGGTTTTATTATCTTAATTAGGGATGGTGTGGTATTTTAATTATTTGCTTATTTTTTCATCCTGAATATTAAAATTTAAAAATGGTATCGTTTTGATTTACTTATAGCATAGATGCATATATAATTGACAAATATACGACGACAACGAATCTAGATATGCAATAAATCACACAAACCAATCGTACAAAAAGAGTTTTGTTAATATAACAAAATGTAGATAACTATATTGCCAAATACAGTTAACAGTTAGAGTTCTTTTCTGAGTAATGACGATAAACAATTATATAAAGGCTACAAACTAAGCCTTATAGATCTTTAACAGTCTGATAAGGCTCTATGAATCCCCATCACTAAACTGTCTATGGTCAGACTTACCTACCTCTTTGTTTACTTTTAGTCTAAATTCATTTGGAACAGACTACATGCAACCACCGCATAGTCTACTATGGAAAGCTTGGGCCTACTACTATTTACACAACCCTAAATCTTTTCACTTGGTAGTTTTGTTAAGGAATGCAAATTAGGCTTACTTACATCTATTTTAATACATTAAAAATTTTGATGTTTCAGCACATTGGAGGAGCAAATATCAGAAACTTTAGATATGCTCAGTCTTCTATTTGGAAGTGAGATCCTGAAAATTATTCCTGGAAGAGTATCAGTTGAAGTCGATGCAAGGTATGTTAAAATTATTTTACGATAGTAATTCTATTTTATGGTATTGGGTATGAATGAATTTGATTGGGGTGGATAATCTCACATCAGGATTTTTTTTATTCACTATGAAGGACTTGATTGGAATTAATTTAATATTTTTTATGTATTTATTGTAGGTGATTATATGATTATTTTTTATTTCAGAATATCATTTGACAAAGATGCTAGTATAGCCAAGGCTATGAAGTTGATCAATATGTTTGCTGATCACGGAATAAAGAAAGAACGGATTTTGATTAAGCTAGCCTCCACATGGGAAGGCATTCAAGCTGCAAAGTTGGTGAAATCTTACTATGTATATTAATACAAAAAAAAAGATGTAAATATTAGCTATTGGTTTTTTATGAAGTATTTCATGTTTGAATATTTTATTTTTATGTTATAGGGAATTAGAGAAGAAACATGGAATCCACTGCAACTTGACCCTGTTATTTTCATTGTATCAAGCTATAGCATGTGCTGAAGCCAATGTTACTTTGATTTCCCCATTTGTTGGGCGTATCTTAGACTGGTAAGTATTTTGTTACTTTTGTAATATTTCTTATATTAGTTCTTTACTGTGTTAGTTTTTATTTGACACCCTTAGTAACTGTTTTTACCCTTAGTACTTTTTAAAAGTGGGTGCTCGTGACTTTGTCTGCGTGGTAAAACTGTACTTCCAGAGCCCAAGAATTGATACTTCACATTTTTTTGGTGAAAAGGTCTCTGTTAATGAAGTCTCTATGCAAAGACACCACACCAGCGCACTCATAGTTTTTGAGAAAAAAAAGATATTGAAAATTACTTTTTTAGTAAATAAATAACACCATTTTGACAAATTACATTGTTTTTTATATATTCTTTTTTTTTATAGCCATCGGAGTTTTCTTTCGCGCTCAATAATTTTCAGTTATTAGAAAGAAAAGAGAAAGGAGGAATATATGGGTCTTTAAAGTCTTCTACCAATTTTTTTTTATTATACACTGCACTTCCGCATCGTCTCCGGCGCTGCGGGATTAGCAGACCCTCCGCCCTTGCGTAACAAAGGCGCACAGGCACTCACGCTCCCCTTAGCAACTTCGACTTCGAGCAGCCTCAGCTGCTACGGGTCGCGAGTGCCTGTGTCTTTATTACAGCAGGCGGGGGCTGCTCCTGGCTCTGAAAAACACTCTAGGGGTAGGTCAGACCAAGACTACGTTGACATAGTCGGTTCTGTATTCAAGTTACATAAACAACCTAATAATTAGAAAGAAAGTAGGTAAATGAAAAGAAAATTACTATTTATTTACTATTATTATCATACACAATTAAAAGCTTTTAATAGTTTTTTTAAGGGATTTTGGTGCTTAATTTTTATTTTAGATGGCTGTATAATAATTTCAACTTATGTCTCATAGATTACTCAAACTATTAAAAAAAACAACCCCCCCATGTAACGCGCTGTAACGTTTTCCTGTCACCCCTCCATAAACGTTACGTAACATCCAACTGACCATTTTTTACCCAAGTGTCACAACTGTGTTGCGCAAACTACCGAAAAGTCGATATAGTATATTTCATTACTAGTACGGAATGGTTGTCATTGCAAAGAGTTCCGACAAATGTCTACCCGAGCCGAAGGCGAGGGTTGACAGTCGGAACGAGTTGCAATGACGGTTCCGTACGTGTACTGAACGACTATTTTTAATACAGTTGCGAAAAAATGAAGCAATTTAATCAAATTATAAAAACACAATAAACTCAATTAACTAATCATTTATTTCTTATAAAAGTTATAATTCACATATACATTGAAATTGGTACAGTTTTTTATACTAACTGGGGAAGTTTTACGTTGCATATTTACTGTTTGAGACAAACTATTATTAATTTCGTATGATTGTTCATGTATATTTGTCATACAATGGCGTTTGCTAGTTGATGGAATTGGATCTGATGAATTATCATTATCAACGAAGGTACTCGTAGATGGACGAACGTTCTCTTCAGCATGTGAAGGAGACGGACTGGACCTTAAATTAATGGATTGTGTGATCATTTTCCCAGTTTCTAGTTTGTTGTTTAATGAATCACCAATATAGCTTTCTGCAACTTTGTCCGATTTCCAACCACCTAGTCGCTTTAAGGACGTCAAATTGGCTCCTGAATCTGCCAATAATGTAGCAGAGGTCCTTCTGAAGCTGGGCCCAGTATAACACTCAGCATCCGGCAGACCAAGAAACGTAGCTATTTCTTTTGGCATATTACCAAATTTGTTTATGCCGATTACTTGAGCTGTACACTTCCCTTTTTGGAAATTTTGAAAAAAACGGTCGGATTTTCCTTTTTGGGACCGCTGGTTCATATATTTTTTCACTATTGTGAGAAAATCTCCTTCAACAACAAAGCTTCGCGGTATCTTATTTTTTGTGTTTGGAATCTTGATAAGTAGCATTTCTCGATGGGCTTAAAGTAATATTGGCTAACTCCTCTCTGCGGCAAGCTCCAACAACGCCAAAAATCAGAGCAATCTAAAAAAAACGATTTGATTCATATAAATAATGTATTGACTGTATTTTGCGATTTTGTAAACTGAACACTAAAGAAAAATGTAGATATGTATACTTATTAATAAATTACCTTTGTGGCTAAATAACAATCATCGGGAGCTTCTTTCAAAAACCTTTCCACGTTATTCGACGTTAATATTTTCGACTTTTTACTGGTAAACCCGTCTGATTGTCGTTTTAAGAAAGAATTTAATTTTGGATATTGACTTATATCCACGTTGTTCCTTATTTTCAGCATAATTTTTATCATCAAAAACCTTGACCATAACGTAGAAGGTTTTAATTTTGCTGAGAGTTCGGAAAAGTATGCCAACATAACATTTTCTGAAAAACTATTTGCTTTTTTCTCTTCTTTCCACGCAATAAATTCATCATATGTAGTGATTTTTGACTTTTCCGGTAAAATGTTCTCCGAAGCATTTTGTGCAATTATACTGAGTTCCTAAATACTATAAAAATAAAAAATAAATTACTCATTTTGTGTAAAAAACAACTGAACTCGCAAAGAAAATTTCGGAAAATGGCGCCAACCGTAGAATGTAAGCAGGTTTTTTTCACCCATTCTGGTAGGCAAAGGGAACTGCCCATACAGCCAAGTCTTTAGTACTTAGTATTTTTTATTATAAGAAATGAAATTGAAATTTAATGATATGAAATGAACTGAAACCTTACCTAACTCATTCAATCAATTAATTAATTCTGATATTGGACAAATTAGTATAGGTAGCTTCTTTTTAAAAACAAATAAACCTATTTGCATGAATCGCAAAAACTTCTAAGATTTTTTTTAGTTAAAACTTCATGGTTGTTTTTTTTTAATAGAAATAATTTTGACAGTTGGGAAAGAAAACGCACGAGTTCGGGAAAGGCAAAAAAAAAGCACGAGTGTGAAATAGCCCAGATCCCGAACGCTACACGTCCCTGCAATACGCCACTTTCGGAGCAACTGTATTAAAAAATTACTTTTGTTATTGTTTTAATCGCGTTTGCGGTAGTAATTTAAAATTAAAATAATCGATTTCTAATTCGCAATACATGCGTATTTTATTTATTCATATATTTATTTAATAAATAATCACACATAATTTAATAAACATTTGCTTTAGTTTCAAATTATATTAAATGGGCTCAAAGTCCTAATAAACTCTTTTCTTAAGATTAGTAGAATCTATCATTTAATTACGCCATTTTCTTTGGCTCTGTCATTTTTTGGCTTCACCCACCATTGTACTTCTCATGCATTTTTCCTATTTTAGCTTTTTTTAAACTTACAATCTTGGGAGAAAAAAAAATGTCGTACAATACAATCGGGGGATTCCTCGTAATCGATAAACGAAAAAAAGGACTGCCAACTTGAGAGATTTTAATACCCTAGTTTTTTTAATTTAAATAAAAACAATTACGTAACGCGTTGATCGAACTCCCCTCCTGCCCCTATAACGTATCATAACGTTTTACAACCCCCCCCCCCCCCCCAAATCAAAATTCAAATTTTTGAAGTGTAAACTTCTTTAGCGGTGTTGAATACTTTTTTTGTAATGGGTAAAAACTGTTAAACTCGCGTCAGGACACGTGACCTGATCCAAAATACGTAAGACGAAAACTCTTTAGCGGCGTCGTACACTTTTTTTGTAATGGGTAAAAAATGTTAACTCTCGTCAGGCCACGTGACATGATCGAAAATTCGTAAGACTGATGGAGAGTAGACAGCCGGCGCGGCGTAGGATAGGAAGTATCCCCCTCTCTTTCTACGGCGCGCCACGCGCATTCATGGATGGTGACAGCTGATGGCTCGACCTCTGTGTAGTGGCCACACTGCTGTGTATTCGTAAAATTCGTGTATATAAAGTGTTACTGATAATTAAAGCAATTCGTGCAAAATTATTCCCTAACCATTCCAAAATATCAATAATGCACAACGTTAATATTCAAGTTTCATTTCTGGTGGCACTCCAGGAGTGCAACCCGTCGTTTTTTTTTTCTAAAAAACTACCAGTGTATTATTGTGGACACTGTTTAATAATGTGGTTAACAAAAGCCTTTTCAACAACAAAAATGCGAAGTTGCAGCCATCATAACTGTGAAGTTTTTTTCTTTTGGGCCCTGGAAGTACTGTATATCCTACATATGACGTCCGAACGTGAACTGATTTGGTTACGCTAATAAAATTACATATTTACTTAATAATAAATAAAATTATAAACAACATGAACAACGCACAAGCCGCTTACAGCTGCGGATGGCGTTCGCGCGGATATTAATTTGTATAGCATATAGGTAGTACTTATATAGGTACGACAACGCATTGACAACCGCGTTACCAGGTGAGTCATACAAATTAACATCCGCGCAACCGCTATCCGCCGCGGTTCGTTGTTCGTTCGTTATGGCACTAAGATCCACAGAATTTTCTCCGGTCTACCTATAAGCACGGTAATAATATCATACAGTATTCTATCTTCACACAAACGGTCGGAAAGCGAGTCATACCTACGCCACTCGAGTTCGATGTGCTCTCGGCGTGCACCCAGTCGCGAATGCGCCGCCGCGCCGCAACGACGACCGAACGGTCTGAATTGTTTTTTATGCAGTTAGCCGTGCTTAAACATGCGTTTTGTATTGTAAATATTTGATTTAATTATGTAGATACCTACATAATTTAGTATGGAAAAGAACAAAAGACGATCAATATCGTACAACAGCACAATTGCTGTTTTTGGTTGCTTGAACTCTTCAATAACACACCCAGAGATATCATTTTTTAAATTACCTGAAATATCGGAAAGGTGTCTTACCTTTATAGAATATTTTTTATATACCTATCTACTAGTAAGTTATTTGTTTCTAATATTTAGGTATTTCGGTTTTTCCATCGGGCAAAATATCTGGAATAATATATAAATAAGTGGTTAGGATGAAAAAGGAGACAAACGAGTAATCTACCTACACTCGCGTTAAAAACAAAACTACATAAAATACTGTAGGCGGGCGGCCCTACCGCGTGCTCACGCAGCGCTCGGTGTAGGCATTTATTTTCAAGGACAGGGCGGAGTCACAATACTGTATAGATAATATTACCGTGCTATAAGTGTGCAGTTACATAGTATGCAACAATTTAGAAATGCTTCAATTAACATAGGACCTAGGTGTGAACCTTGTGGCACACCTGACTAAGAATAAATTTGCCTATCTTTATTTAATCATTCATTAACACTTTTTGTATCCTTTTTTAAAATAAGTTTAAACCAGTAGACGACAAAAAAAATTTTTCAGAGTGTGATTTCCCTAATCAAGCGCTTTTGTGAAGTCACTATACTAAATTGTTCCATCGTTTGTACGAATTTCATACAAGGCTGACTAGGACCATTATCTAGTAACTATAAAATCGTGCTCTTAAGGTGCGTCCAGATTATACCATCTGATTTTCATTATAAACATCTCCACATTTTTAACACTGTCCAAATCTTGTATATACCTACATAACAATTTTATACAACATCTTTGTTATACACTTCTGGACACATCTATTGGCCCACCTTGTATTTTCAGTTTCGTTTGGTCCTAGCTAAAATTTTATATTAGGTCGAGCAAAAAGTTTTTATGCAGTTTTGAACCTGGCACATTCACAATTTCATTCAATAGTCTTTTTTTGAATATCGAACACAGAATTTAAAGAAACAAAAGACAATTTGGAGCCTGTTTGTTGATATCAAACAATCGAATACTAAGATAACTTGGTTTTATTGGTTTACTTGGATTTAATTCTTGAAAGAGTGATTGATATCTTTGGTTTTGCAGCAAACATTACTTATTCTTAACATTAAGGTGAGGTTCTATCAATAATTTATGGATACTTCACCTGAAGTCGCCGCCCAAGCAGTGGCACTTATTCAGGCCGGACACAGCCAAAGAAACGTGAGTGCTCAACTTAATTTAAGTCGATCTGCGGTCCGAAATGTTTATCGGAGGTACCTAGAGACTGGCGGCTTTGTTCGTCGCCAAGGAAGGCCACGATCTCGGGTCACAACTGAAAGGCAGGATCGATTCATCGTGACGACCAGCTTGAGAAATCGTCACCTTACCTCCATTGAGATACAAAAACAAATTCGCGAGCGCATCTGTGAGCGCTCGAACTGTTCGGAGAAGGTTAAAAGAACGCGATATGGTACCACACAAGCCAGCTAATGGGCCCAAACTAACGCGAGCCTTCATTTCGCACGCAGTCATTTAAATTGGACACAGCAAGATTGGAACCGTGTACTCTTTTCTGATGAGTCTAAAATTGTGTTACATGGCAATGATGGAAGGAAGAAGGTCTACCGATGTAAGGGACGGCGTTTCGCACAATGCTGCTTTGAAGAGAGGGTTGCTTATGGCGGTGGCTCATGGACTGTCGCGGTGCGGTATATCCGCGAGCGGCAAAACCCAACCTGAGGTTGTTACAGGACCACGGCTGCCAACATTAAATGCTGAAAGGTACATTCGTGAGTGCTTAGAACCTCACGTGATACCATACGCGGACTATGTGGGCCCAAATTTCCTTTTTATGCATGATAATGCAAGAGCCCATGCGGCTGGCATCATCAGGGAATATCTTCGGGATGTGAACATCACAGTTTTGGACTGGCCAGCCAGAAGCCCAGACATGAACCCCATTGAGCACATGTGGGACGAGCTAAAAAGACGTGTTAGGGCTCGTCAGCCAGTTGCCCAGACGATGCAGGAGTTGAAAACTGCCATAGAAGAGGAATGGGAGATGAAATCCCTCGAAATTTCATAGAGCGGTTGATAAACTCTATGCCTAATCATATGAGAGCTGTGGTAGATGCCCATGGAGGCAGCACGCGTTATTAAATTTATAAATTTATAAGTTAATAAAACATGTTTTTTATTCAAAAATCAATTGCTTTTAACAAGGCGCATATCCGACTTGTTAGGCGTAGCTCCATGTCGTATGGTATTCTGAATTCAAATTTAAAACAATATGATCGAAAAAGATGGTAAAATGTATCAGGTTTAAAACTGCATCAACAGTTTTTGTTCAATCTAGCAATCATATTTCGGTAGGGGTCATCGAAACCTAAACTCTAAGGTGGGCCAATAGTAGTGTCCAGAAGTGTATATAGTCTGAACACTGCGTTCAGAGTATATACACTTTACTATGTTTTACTAGGAAACTAATAATGTTATAATTTTTGTGTTTTATAATTTATTACTGATGATGATTTATTAGAGACATCATTATCTTTAGGTATGTTGAACACACTAAGAAGACCTATGAAGGCGAAGAGGATCCCGGTGTGCAGTCTGTAACTCGCATCTACAACTACTATAAGAAGTTTGGATATAAGACGCAGGTTATGGGCGCGTCGTTCAGGAATACTGGCGAGATTCGAGAGCTAGCTGGCAGCGACCTGCTCACTATAAGCCCTAAGCTTCTACAGGAGCTCGCTAACAATGACGAACCGTTGAAAAGGGTCAGTAACATTTTGTTTCCTTTCTTAGGTGTAAAAAGAGCTGTAACAAATATTGATGATTGATTCTTTACCATCTATACAATGTCAATCTTAGTTATGAATAATGTAATTTACACGGAAAGAAAGAAAAAAATGGGTTTAAGTAAAGAAAACTATGATATTCCATTAGTTTAAGAGTATTTTTGAAGATACCTACTTAGTACCTTAAGGCCCACTTACAACAAAATTGCTATATCTCAATTCAACTTAAAACTAAATTTAACCCATAGAAAGATAAGAAAAATTACTGTGAGTACTTACATCACTATCTTCAGGTTAAGAAAACTAGTCGGTCATCTATAACTTACTTTTTTAAAAAAAATAAGGATAATAAAGATTTGAAAATCTTGTTTACGTCATTATTTTTTACTGATTCACAGGCTCTTGATTCCAAAGTTGCTGCTGAATCTGACATCGAAAAAATATCGTTGACTGAGGCGCAGTTCCGTTGGCACCTTAACGAAGATCAAATGGCTACAGATAAACTTTCCGACGGCATAAGGAAGTTTGCTGCGGACACCAGAAAATTAGAATCTCTCATCAAAACTCTACTTGCTAAAAATTAAAGTTAAAAACTTGAAGTTTTTCTATGAGGCACACCATAGATTTAAGCGAAAATGGTTGAAATGTTTCTACTCAATTTTTATACTAAATGATTTATACTAACATGTTATGTATTTTTAAGCCATTAAAAGTACAAAAAAGACATTCAATGTAAATATCATATAAAATCATGTGGGACCAGTTGAAAGTAACATTCCAAATTAACTGATATTTATACTATTAAACAAAGTTTGGGATATGGAATTTAAGATCTATTTAGTGTTATAAATAAATCGGATGAATGAAATAAAGTTTTTTTACTTCTTACCTACGTATCCTTTATTCCATAAAGTAATGCATTCACGTGATAAAACTAATTTAGGTTATCAAGCGCAAGTCAACATAACTAGTGACAAGTTTGTGATAGCCTATTAACTATATTTTTTTTAACTAGCGGATTCCCGCGACTTCATCTCCTTGATATAATTTTGGTTTCATATATAAACTTTTGTCCTCTGCTTAATCCCGATTCAAAATTGCATAGGCGCATAACTTCTTCCGTGCCACTGCACCAAAGAGATTGTTCCGTAGCGTAAGGGCCGGCGCCCACTGCCGGCACGGCACGGCATGTCATGGCAAAGGATTTTAATACTAATTAAATTATTTTGAATCTTATTTCAATAAGTTTAGAATTTATGTTACTTTATTTTGATACCACGATGCCGCGACGTGCCACAGGATGCCGCGGCATGACGCGACACGCCGCAGCATGCGGCGGTATGACGTGTCTTGCCTTTTCATTCCACAGGATTCCGCGGCACGCCATTGCATCCCGTGAGACGTATGGGTCATTTTGGGGTCGAGGAATTATGATTGCTAGCTAGTTGAAATAAGGTTGAAACATGCAGCATTTCGATGGAGCGCATTCCGGTCGGTGCGCGGGGGCAAGGGAGGGAGAAAACGCACTGGCGCGCGCGATTATTTCTCTCACACTGACTGAGCGTGGCAAGTAATTAGCACGTGCGTACGCGATACAGTAAATTACTTCACGTGTGGTATGTTGGGTGATGGCGGCAGATTATAATAAATACAAAGACGTAGATAGGTTGGTGTCCATTTATTGAAGAAGGCTTAATGGTACAAAACATACTTATTTATAATATTAGTGCACTACGTAGTTACACACACACACTTATAAAATATAACACACAATATTATTACAAAACATCAGCATTTCACGTGGCCTACTTTTGTGTCATTCAATGTTGCGTTGTATTATTAATACATATTTATTAAATTATTTTCATACTATCACACGCCCCCCAAAAATCTCCATTACACCCCTCTCCTCAAAAAAATAAAAAAAAGTGTTACATTTTTTTTTTTTCAACCACATACATTCAGCTAAATATTATCATTATAAAGTTTCGTATTATTCTTATGTACTACGTACTCTCTATTATTTTTTAATATCTTTACATTAGGTGACAATTCCTCTATTACTTCATAAGGGCCGTTATACACTCTATCTAACTTATCTCTTATTTGATTTTTTACCAAAATTAAATCTCCTTTTTTATATGATATCGGGTAGCTATTTTTATCAAATGTATTTTTTCTACATAATTTATTAGTTAATAAATTTTTTCGCGCATCACACAGTGCTCTTTGTAGTCTATGTCGAAGTTCCTTAGGATAGTCATCATAGTTATATAAGGGAGTTACAGAGTCACTTAAGTTACTAGGTAAAATACAATTTTTTCCAAACACTAGCTCGTAGGGAGTATATTTTGTTTGCGTGTGTACCGAGGTGTTGAATGAGAAACACCAGTACGGAACCCAACTACTCCAATTGCTTTTGTGACTCTCACATTGTATTCTTAGAAAAGTGCCGAGATGTTTGTGAGTATTTTCTAACGATCCCATAGTTTCATGGTGATATGCAGTGGACTGTAATTTTTTAATACCTAATAAGCTACATATTTCGGTCATAATTTCGTTAAGAAATTCTGTTCCCTGGTCTGTAATTATTTCTTTTGGGATTCCATATCTAAGGATAAAATTATTTACAAAAGCTCTCGCTACCGATTCGGCGTCTTTGCGCTGCAAGGGATAGGCTTCAACGAACTTTGTTAGGTCGCACTGTAGAGTTAGTATGTACCTATGATTGTAATCGTCAACTTGTAAAGGTCCCATTATATCTAAACTAATTCTTTCGAAAGACGAATTAGGGGTAGTCGTTAATGACATAGGTTCCTTAATGTATCTATTAGTGTATTTATTTATTTGACAAAGCTTACATTTATTGACATAATTAACGACATCCTTTGTAATGCCTGGCCAAAAATAGTATTTTTTAATATTGTTTAGCATTCTATTTATCCCAGCATGCCCACTGGTGGGTAACAAGTGGAAGTCATTTAATATAACTATCTTTTCGTCCTCATTTCTGATACGCTTAACATCTTTAGTTATCAATAATCGCGGCCGACTCAACTTTAGTTTTTTAATTGTACTTGCAAGTAACTTAATATGTCCTTCATATATTTTATTTTTGATAATAAGCAATTCTAAGATATTTAACTTACTACAAAAACTCTCTAAATCTCTCGCTAACGCTTCTACAGCTGATAGCGATCGAGCATTTAGATAAATTATTGACCGCTTTGGTACATATACACAATTTCCACTTGAGGACGTAAAAACTTCGTCGTTTCCGTCATATTTGACCGAGTGACTAAAACATAATTCGATAATATCCGGTGGTGGCTTGAGAATTTCCACGGCCAAGGGGTGATCAGTCCCATGACTATGCAAATTTTCAGGATTACTATAATTCTCTAAGTCACAGTTTTTATTACGACTATTTTTTTTTGTTTGTGCTCTAGTAAGTACTGATACTAAGTGTTCACGCATATTTTTTAAATCATCCGATGTCACCGGGATGCGACTCAATGCGTCTGCAGCCGCGTTGTGTCGTCCTGGGACATAGCCTATCTCAAAATCATATTCCTCTAAATATAAACGAAATTTAGTTTGCCTACTGGAAGGATCTGTCATAGAAAATAAATAAATAAGAGGCTTTTCCTACCATATAAATAAGGTCGAAAATGCCTCACTGCCCAAACTATGGCTAATAGCTCCAAGTCTATAATCGGATATCGCGTCTCAGCGGGCTTTAAACTTCTACTTGCGTATGCAATAACTCTATCATTCCCATTGGATAATATTGCACCTAAACCTGTTCTTGAGGCATCAGTCTGCAATTTAAAAATATTATTTTCAGAAAAATCGGGATAATCCAAAACTGGGGGTTTTATTAAAGCAGATTTTAATTTTTTGAATGCTTCGTCACAATCAGCTGTCCAATTAAATGCAACATTCTTTTTACAAAGTTTATTTAGTGGATGTGCAATTTCAGCGAATTGTAAAATAAATCGTCTATAATAGTTAGCGAAGGCCACGAATCTTCGGACCTCGTCAACGTTAGTCGGTGTCGGATAACTTTGCAAGGTTGTTATTTTGCTTGGATCAGGAAATATGCCTTTACTTGTTATTTTATGTCCTAAGTATACTATCTCTGTTCGTAAAAATTCACATTTTAAAGGGTTTAGTTTTAAATTAACTTTTCTTAAGCGTTCTAACACAGAAATTAGGTTTTTATTATGATTTTCTATACAATTTCCTATAACGATACAATCGTCTAAATAAATAAAACATTGATTATAATTCAATCCAGACATAGCTATAGTCATCAATCGAGAAAATACGCTAGGGCTAGTTTTAAGTCCCATCGGACAACGCTTCATTTGGTATATTTTATCAGCTGTGAAAGCGGTGCACTTACGTGAATCGGGATGAAGGGATAATTGGTACATTCTATCTAAATGGAAAGCAGTGTATTTTCTTGAATTTTCATTTAAATTTAATTGATAATAACTTTGGGACAAATCTAATTTTGAAAAATACATAGAATTTGATAAGGAATCTAAAATATCTGTAATATTGGGAAGTGGAAATTTATCATCTTGAATTCTATTATTTAATTGCCTATAGTCAACGACGAACCTATACTTCTTTTCATTATTTTTGTCGGTCTTTTTCGGAACAAGCAAGACGGGACTAGACCACTCCGAGGTGGATTCCTCAATAATATCGTTGTCTAACATATCCTGTATTTGTTTACGTAACTCTGGTTTTAAAGAGTGTGGTATTCTGTAGGGTTTTATATAAACAGGAGTCGCATTATCCTTTAAAGTAATTTTATGCTCCATTAAATTAGTGACTGACAGTTTATCACCTGGGAGATGAAACACGTCCGCGTACTTAGCGCAAATAGACTCAATGCTAAGTCGTTCATCTTTGTTTAAATAACCTAGGTTAAGAAGCTCAAATAATGTTTTTACACGATTTACGGAAATTTCCCTTTCCGAAAAATTACAAACATCGAAATGATGCAAACTATATACTTCTAAATGAGAAAAATCATAAATTAGGTCATTTTCCGTCGTATTTAATATTCTAATCGGGATAAGCCCGTTTCTAGGCCTCGACAAAACACCTGCAATAAATACTCCCTCTCTTATTTCATTCGCAAGGACGACACAATCGTCGGTTATATTCGTAGGTATGAACTTAATAGTTTCACACCTCGCAGGTATGTTGTGTTTATACCTGTTATTTATACACATACTTATCGATTTAGACGACTGAGTTAGGCTTAAAATGCCTTTACCATAATCAATTAACGCTAAATATTGTTTTAAAAAGTTATCACCTATTATTCCATCTGCAGAGCATGACAGGTTCTTAAATACGTAAAATTTATGTGTAAAAGTCATACTGTTACTACTTAATTCTAAATAAATGTAACCTTCTGATATTAACCTACCGCTAACACCTCTAATAGTTAATCTTTCGGGAACAATTTTATTTTTCAAATCACTAAATACCTTAGCTAAATATTCATACTTAATTACACATAAACTGGCACCAGTGTCTATTAATAAATGTATTACCCTATCTCCTAAACTAAAAGCTACCGTACTCGAAGTATTATAATTGAGAACTACATGCTCTGTTTTCGTTTGAGGAACGAAAAAACTGACTCTCACTCATGGTTGAGGTTGGAGCTCGAGGCTGCCTTACTTCAGTGTCGCAGTACGTATGGTGGACACGGGAATAGCCTCGTGTACGGGGCTGATACTGCGCGCCTGGCGTTGACCAGCGCGCGGCCGGGGAGGGTGCGCCTCGACCTCGACCGGAACCACGGTGCGGCGCAAACGTGCGCGGCGCGCTCACATAATGCGACTGGATCGGGTTACCGTATTGAGCACGCGAATTACTATAATAATTATTGCCAATATTTCTACCGCGGAACCCTTTATTAATAAAATGAAATGTTTTCGTGGACTTAGGGTGGTGACGAAAATTCATAACTTGTTCCCCACTGGTAGAAAGCGTTTGCTCGTCTATAGCACTACGGATTGCCTCGGGAAGAGAAAGAAATTCCTTTGATGCAATAATAATACTCAATCTAGAGTTTGCCAAACCATCGGCAAAGCGTTTTATAGCGATCTTTTCATTAATTGGTCGC